AGGGATTGGAATGGACCTCGAAAGATCATCTGTATAGAACTTGCTCCTCAATCAAGATGAAAATGTCAGAGCTGCTGCACTATTTGCAAATGAAAGAATCACACCAAACCACCTAAGAAGAAAACTAACACTCCTTCTGGACTGCAATCAATATTATTTTTATTATCATCATTATTTTCCTTATAATAGGCAGCAATTTCTGACACTACAGATAGAGGTTGATTTACTCACACAGGACTAGATAGCAAGTAAATCGACTGACTCCAGTAACATAAACCCAACATAAATAAAAGGGATATCAGATCGAAAATCTAGAGGCAATTTCAAGTGCTAAAGAATGAATAGCATATGAATAATGTTATAAATGTCATCTCTTCCAAGTCATCATTCTAGGAACAAATTTTCAATCTACTCAGTGAAAGAAGAATGAAATATAAACTGTTTTTCCAGGACCCTGGTAACTTGCTGTTAATTCTTTGAGATTTTAATCCATCATTCAGTTTCTACCAGAAGGAAAAGTTCTCTGCAACTTTTCTTAACTCATTCTCCTCACCTAACATCAACATGTTTCTTTAATCACTGAGCAGAGATGGATTGGTGGATTGTATATATTTTCATTGTATGTTTATGGATTTAACAGATGTTATCCCAGTAGTTTCCTTATCAAACAGGATCTCCTAGATCTGTACCACTGACACGTACTGCTCACGCTGTTGATTTTTCTCAGAGGCCAGCTCTAAGGTTTATTTTCTTTGGCAGTTTTTATGATGTCTATTTTCCTTGCTTGTTTCAGTCTGTTTTAAGGTAACCTGTTGAGCTCAAAGTTACTTTTCTTTGGGATTTTGCCATATCTTTACTCTTTATCAACAAAAAAAGACATGATTTCCTGTATGTCCTCAGTAATACAAAGATATACAACCGTTGCTTCTTCTGACGTGTAGAAAAAATATCCCATGAATATGAGTGGGTTTCAGGTTGTCTGTGTACGTACTGTGGTATTTGCTTCTATAAGGTATCTTATCAGCCAGAAGGCAATAGCCAATATTATTTCCTGAAGGTTTTGTGCATGTCTAGGTGTCAGATGTAACTTGAGGGTGATTACTATCATTTGCTTGAGCCATTATGATGCTGATTTAATGATGAAACAGGAAGCAGGAAAGAAATGGAGACAAATGTTGATGTGTTCAGTGCTCCACTCTGAAATACCAATTCCCAATATGGATGATGCTTGCTTGGCAGGATACTGATGTGACCCTACTGAACATATTAATGGGCTTTTTTAATAAAAGGAAGCAAAGATGAAGGAAATACTGCAAATGCAAGATATCTTGAATAAAGAAATTGAGAGGAGGTTGATCTGTTACAAAAAACATGCAACTTTATCTGCTTATGATCCCTGTTTCAACATGAGATAGTGGTACTCATGCACCATCACACATTCATTTCACAGTTTCAATACATCCAACTGTATTAAGTATCAACTGAAATAATCTTCTGTGTGGCAGACTTGACTTTGTAACAATTTTGTGTCTTGCTCACATATTGCATTACAACATAAACTATGCAACAGAGATTGATGGATTTTGTGTTTTGCTTTTTCTCTGTAGAAATGGATCTACTAACTGCAATCATTTTCCTGGCTGCTTTGCTACACCGATCTGAAGGACAGGTAAGATCATCCATCTATGCAAAAGAGCCATATCTGAGCACATTGTATAGACATCTGAAATGGTGTAGTCCGGTCTAATGATCTATAGCTCTTTACAATTCAGGGTTGAAAGGATTGTTAACGTGTTAACATAACACAATAAAGATGAACTCTTATTTTTCACAGATTTTTATATTAAGATATTTCTTCTGCTCATCAAAAAAAAAAAAATTATCTTCACAAAACTAACTTTAAAAATACATTTTCTGAAAATGTTAACTGAAGGTATTCTAAAATAATTTAGCTAAGTATCAGAAATCTAGTCTTCACCTCTCTCATTTTATGCTTTTCTTGTTGACCACAAAGGCAAACTGTGATAATTTTAGATATTTATATCTATGGTACAGTTCTATAAAATTAAATAATATGAACCAGTGCACATAAGAGGTCAAAGTCAGTCTTGAGATATTGTTCCAGAGCTAATCCAGTCCTGAGATTTCAGTCTCGAGTTAAGCTTTCTCCATGTTTGGTGTGGAGACATCTGAAGGTAGAATTCCTACTTACAAATTTAATTTAAGGTCACATCTCCTAATGAAAGGTGTAGTTCAAATCAAGGAAGAAAGAAAAAAAAAAATCAGCAATTATAAGAACAGAAGAAACAATAGAGGAAAGCTGGGAATTTCCAAGAAGCTTTACTTTGAGAAGAAGTTCATAATTTATCTTGCTTATTAAACTACTGATAATTGAAAACTTAACTGTTATTGTTTTCCAGTTTTTTCCAGACAAAGGACTGCGTATTTTCTCCTTTCCTCGTTTTAAGTTTCAAAACCAAAAGCAGATCCTTGAGGAACACAATGAAATACGGAGATCTGTAATTCCAACAGCCAGGAACATGCTGAAGATGGTAAATTATGCATTGCAACTAGCCTTCTTTACACATCATTAGCAGAAGATTGTAGCCACAACCCACACTCAGTGAACAGAGAGGGCATGAAAGGTGCTCTGGGATTGAGACAAAGAAATTAGAGGTTTATCCCTTTGTTTCCTCAGTCTTGTTGCTTACATTTACATACCTTGATGCTGCAAGCACTTGTAAAATGATTGCAAAGGTCTCAGGATAGGCTGTAAGTACTATTCAAAACCTCTCTCCTAACCAACATATTTTAGTTTCTCCACTTAGAAAAACTCAACATAGGAACTGTTCCACAACTAGGGTTATTTGTCTACAGGAAGCAGGAACACAGATTTGCCTCAACCTATTTATTGCTGTCAAACCTACCTTAACAGGCTCCACAGTGAATCACAAGTTCTTGCCTTATGTTTGTTCATTGCAGTAGATGGCAGCTACAAGCCTTTTCAGGGAAAGCATTTAAACTGGGGATAAAGTACAAAGTGCAGTGATGGCTTTCAAATTATGGATAACACTCTTTAGTCTGTGGGGTAAGGAACTCCCATAGATGAGAAAAACATGCCTTGGATGAAGGAAAGAGTATGTAAAGCAAAAGTGGAGCAGGAGCACAAGCAGCAGCATGATTCCATACCACACATTGTCAGGGGGTAAAAAAAGACCTAGATCTGTATAGCCATTTTTCCTCAGCTGAGCTTCATTTGCCCATCACTGGTTCCATCCCTGTCTGCCCTGATATTCTTTGTTATCCCTAAACCATGAGCAGATGATCTGGTCAGTGCTTTACGGTTAAGTCTGCAAGGTGAGTCTTGCAAACATTCCCCAGGTTCAGACTCCAGCTGGTGTCTATCACCACATTTCAGCTGCACCTGGGTTGAAAATCATTTTTATACCATTTAGTGCACTGGACCCCGCAAAGTTAACTAACTCAGACACAAAACCAAAAGAAAGCAACAGTATGTTATAAAATTCCTATCACGACTGTGTGATACTGTGCAGAAGCAATGCCCATGCCTCAGTAGCGTGTAAACTGGCACGACTCCTCTGCTTTCTGCTGTGGACCTTGGGAACATTCAGCACGCAATGCCCAAGCCACTTCCACTTTTTTTTTTCTTCTGATGGACTGCACTAACCTATCTGTGACCTAGATACTTCTTCCTTTGTGTCTTTCAGGTGTGGAGTGAGAAAGCTGCCAGAAATGCTCAGAAATGGGCAAATAGGTGTGAGATGAAAATCAGCCCAGCAGATCTGAGAGTCATTAACGGTACGTGACAAATATGAAGCCTAAGCTGATGGGTTAATGGCAATTTGCAGATGACCCCTGTGCATGTGAACTAGAAATAATAACTTTTAATCTGTTGTAGAATATCTTTTTTAGGATTAAACACAAAAACATCATCTCTGTCAGATAAATACCCTGAAAGACAAATTTTTGGAACTTGAGAGAGAGGGACGCTATGTTCTTGCCCTATTTTTGTACCTTTCTTGAAGTGTCCACTTTTAGCTCCTGATGGAGATGAGGCAGCAGAATAGATGACTATGGTAGGAATATGACTATTGGTATGAATAAGTACAGACATTTTTGCATAACATTTTGTAGTCAATAAAGTAGCGGTGACTGAAAGCTCACCAAAATCAGAGCAACATTTCCCGCAGCTTTCATAGGAACAGGTGCACTGTCCTCTTCTTAAAATCACAGGGCAAACAGATTGACATTGTAGAGACTTTTTTTAGGATGTAGCTACAATCCCTCTGTCCTAATTCCCACCCTACAGCTTGCTTCTCTCCTAAGTAATACAATAGACTTGCTTCTACTTCAGGTGTCACCTGCGGTGAGAATATATTATTATCACCTTACCCAAAAACGTGGCCTGAAGCAATTAAAGTCTGGTACAGTCAGTCCTCCAATTTCAAGTATGGATATGGAGCAACAGCAAAAAATGCCAATATCGAGAACTATACTCAGGTATGGAGAACTGAAACAAACTGCAATGATATGCTGTAATTACAGTACACCTAAGGGAGCTGGGAGATATTTATCCTCAGGAAAAAAACAAAAATATAACTGTAATCAAACCATTATCTATCATTCACACTGATCAAAAAATTAATGATAAATTAAAACCTTTTTTAATCTAATTCTGAGGCAATAGAACCAGTATTTTAGAAGAGCTGTCCGGAATAGAAATGTTACTCTGTAGAAGAAAAAAATAATCAATACCTTCAATATAGAAATAAATATTTTCCGTATGAGGATTGAAAAACATGATTAAGAGATGTCGAAGCAAAATATCTATGATGAAAATATTTGAATTTATACTTAAGTGTCCTGCCAGAAACTGTATCCAAAAACATTTGGAAGCTGGAGGAGATGGTTAACTCATTTTTCTATTTCTTATTTCTAACAGCTAAACTGTAAACTTAAAAGCTAAATAGACAAAATTAAACAAAATATTATCTTCTGGTTCTGTTATTTTGTGAGCTCTTTGATAAGAATTCAATAAAACATTACTCTGAAACAATATGTTTATTTTTTTATTCCACAGCTAATCTGGTACAACAGTTACCAGATTGGATGCGCAGTTGCCTACTGTCCTAGGAGCCAGTTCAACTACTTTTATGTTTGCCAATACTGTCCTCCGTATGTAACTGTCTTTTTATTCATTTAAGATGTGATAATTACAGATTTATAAAAAAAAAACCTCCTGTGTTCCATTGGTCATGTGTAGGATAAAATTACAGGTTATTTTAACCATTTAAAAATTTGAAAATAACAATGTGATTTGTGGGATTACTATTAGGTCAAATAGTTATATTCATTTTTTTCACTTTGAAGCAGAGATTAGGGAAATTTTAGCACATGAAGAAAGGTCTGCCTCTTTCAGAATCAGGCACCATGCACAAATCATCCTTTAACTTTGACCACAAACAAAAAAGTCAGATGCAAAGTGAAAGCCAACAGCAAATGAATATTCACAGAGGTAAAGAGCCCATCTGAAACAGCTGCATGTCAGAAGGCATCTGCTGAGGTTATGTCCTTACAAGTCCCAATCACTTGAAAGCCATTAGAAAAGCAGAACTAGGAAGGATGTAAGATTATTTTTTTAACTAGCAGTGTTATACAAAGGCAAATAATTGATCAATATTCTTTCCCTACTTATTGTCCCTCCTATTTAAAATCAAAGTTACTGTATTCTGTGAATATCTGAAACTAAAACATGATTGTCTGTGATGTCTATCCAAAAACATCTGGATGCCTTTCATAGTGATAAAAAACATAAACTCCTGTTAAGGGCTCAGAGCTGCACTTTGACCTTGTTTTGTGTTGTATTTCTTTCAAATTTCAGAGGAAATAACATAATGCAAAAAGCTACACCTTACAGAAGCGGACCAAAATGTGCAGACTGTCCCGGCTACTGTGACAGAGGGCTTTGCAGTAAGTGGACATCTCCTCCTCCTTACAACAAATGTTGCTCTACCTCATAACGTTCCTTTGTAGCGTTTTACTTTTTCATACTTCCTTCTTGCTAACCTGAAGGAAAGATCCTAGAACTGCTTTTTAATTTTCCCCCCTAAAATAACAGTGCTTAAATATCCCACCAGAAGAGGCACAATATTTAGTGGGGAGGACGAGGGGGGTGGACCAGGTGACCTCCAAAGTTTCCTTCCAACATCAACCATCCTGTGATAAAGGATAAGTCGTGTTGCTGTTGAGCAATAGGTGCATTATCACACTGTCAATCTTCTGCTGCCCTCTTCTGGAAAGCCCAAGACAGAATGTCTTGATGTACATTTATATCTAAGGGCACAGATTGTCAGGATCCATGGGCATGAAGATCTGTACAGGCTTCTGGCTTCTGCAGACTTCCATGGTGGAGCAAGTCAAAGTGTACAAATAGATGGGAACTGTAAGGTACCACCTTTCAGCCTGTGTTCCCTTTTGTATAATATTCAAGTAGTCTTAACAGCAGAGCAAAAGTACAAAGACTTTCTAAACACAAAAATATGGAATTTTTGGAAAACGCAGAAATATCAGACCAGGACTTGGTTTTCAATTAATATTTCATGGTTTTGTTTTTCTCTCTTGTATTTTAGCGAATCCTTGCAAGCATCAAGATTTATTTGGAAACTGTGGAAATCTGAAAATGTTATTCAGCTGTAACAATCCAATGGTCAAGAACAAGTGTCCTGCTACCTGTAGATGTACCAATCAAATAATGTAATGTCCTGTTGGATGACATTATAGCTGCAATGAGACTTACTTATTAAGAAAGAGTAGAACTCACTGTGGAGTGTATTCACTCTCAGTGCATCATCTCAGATTGACATATAAGTAACATTTTTTTTCTGAAATCTCACCATTCCTTCAGTCCTAAATAAGTCTAGTAGCTCAAAATAACCTCTGATATTATTTTAGACTTTGTAGAAATTATGCTTAAGCTACTAATGTGTTACTTCGTGGTTTTCCCTGCGGTGGAACTTCCACTGATTCATTTGTTTTTAATGGGACACATGCTTTTGAAACATTTTAGGGTTTTTTGCAAAATATTACATGCCACTTAACTTCCTTCTGTTACCTTTTCTTTGATTATCAACGGAATGTATTCCTGCTAAATAAATACATGATTTATCACTGGTTCAGAAATAGAGTTTTTCATTGAAATTATTTATAATTTATTTCTTTGCATTTGAAAATTTCCTTATGGATATTTCAAGGCTCTTTGATACTTCAGGTGAGTGGGAATGAGACTGGAAAAGAAGGACAAAGCAAAAGTGGGTTGACCCTGGCAGCATGCCAGGTGCCCATCAAAGCTGTTCTATAACTCCGCTCCTCAACTGGACAGGAGAGAGAAAATATAATAAAAGACTCATGGGTTAAGATAAGGACAGAGAGAGATCACTCACCAATTACCATCACAGGTAAAGCAGACTTGACTTGGGGAAAATGAATTTAATTTATTACCAACTTCTCCCAGAAGCCACTCCTGTAACCCTGCTACTGCCAAAACCTGGCCATGTAAACCCAACACAGTGGTGCATTTTTTGTACAGCCAAAATAAGAGGTACACATCGAATCTGCCAATTTTTTCTCTGGCCTAAACACAAAGTTTCTGATACATCTGTCTATGCAGGTGGGTTTTTTGGGGTTTTTTTTGTATGGCCCTGACAGTCCAGAAATAGGAAGCATTTTAAAAGCATTCATAAAAAGAAAGATATACATATATATATATATATATATATATCCCTTCCCACCCTCTCTATGAGTAAGTCAGTCCCACACTCACCTGGAATTCATATTGCAGCATGTAGAAAAAAATATTGCTTAAACAAACAAGGAAAATCAGTAGATACAAGTCCCCAGAAATCCCCATCAAAGTATTTGATTTTCTCCAGAACTTCCCAAGAAACATCTTAATGCCAGTTCCTAGCAATGCACACCTCTAGGATCTTTCCAAGAGGATTAAGTTCAGCTGAAGGCCTTAGATGTGCCTTCTCCCAGTTGTATTTGCAGGTAGGCCACCAGCTCCTGCCTAGGGGGGAGTTTAGCTGGATCTGCTGCACTTGGTCACAGTGTTGTGTTAGTTTATGTATTGCTTCTAATGATATATTTCCTTGAGTAAGGTTTTTAATCTCCTATCTTTCCAGGTCCTTTACAATGCAGGGCATGACTTCAAAGGACTGTGTATCTATGTTGACCCAGAACTGAGGAATTTGATTTGTTACCTGTCAGTGGCATTTGTTACTTGGAGATACTTTCTAATCCATTTAGTGAGGAGCAATACCAAAATCATGCTTCTTTAGATACTAACAATATTATTACATTGATAAAACAGTCTGTCAGAATCATCTTACAGGAGTTTTTTATCTACTTATTATAGCTTTTATCTCATCTTTAAATTTATAACTATTATTAAAAGGTAGATACAGAGGAAACAGAAGCTTTTCATGCTTACAGTTTATGAACTTTGATAAGAGGTTAAAAAACCAACAAACATCTGGAACAGTATCTTCTCATTGAACAGGGAAGTTACTAACTTTCCTCCTGACACTTCTCTCAACTGATACATCCATACAGATACACAAGGTGCACTAGGGTGTCCCATCGGACGACCAGCTGCTCCTCAAAATGGGTGCTGGTCTCCCATAGGTCTTGTGTCACATATACCAGCCCTGAGCAGGACTGATCCCACTTACCACCTTCCTTTCCTATTTTAGACAACAAAAATTTTCTCCATAGGAGTGCAATTCTGCTTAAAAACACAAGAGGGTGAACCATGCCCAGACATTCAGCTGCATTGGGTTTTCATTTTGTTACTTATACAAAGGGCTTCTCCTTGTACTAGAAATTACAGTTCTGGGCCCAGCCTGGCCTGATCTAACACTTCTTGCTTTCACAGAATTTCTTAACTAATACTGGATGAATAAATAAGCACTACCTATAAAACAAGTTTTGTAGCAATTTTTCTCCTCTGTTTTTTCATCCTGCCTCTGTTGGTCAAATTACTATCATATTAAAGCAATTTATACCATTAAATTAAGGCAATTTATGGTTTTCAGGATATCAATGACTAATACTAGTAGCCTTGATTTTCTACTTGCCTGAAGCTCAGTTTCAACATCATGTGCCATTATTTAAGGCTCCTACAACAACAGTGATATTTGGAGAAAGTGTGATTCAAACAAAAGCTGGGTGAAAATTTCCTTAGAAACCTATGTTTACCTCAGAAAATATTATTCTATAAAACCCTAGTTCTCTCACAGAGGATACATAATTTTGGTAAAACTCTCAGGTGTTTTCTGGGATATTTTGCAAGGTTTAATTTCTGCTTATAACCAAGGAGATGGGCGATAAAACTCCTTCCACGCACACAATTTCTCTCTCCTCCCTCTCTCTGTGGCCCAATGAATATTTAAAGAGGAATTATTTTATTATCAGAGATTTCTGAGAGAGCTCCCTCCCCAAGAGTCAGCTTCTGTGCTCTGGATATCCAGCTATGGTGTTTGAGCATGGCAGCAGCAGGAACTAGAAGAGATCTTGCATCGTGAAGTGCTACCCTGGAGCATCATGCATCCTGCTGGGCTACTGCAGGGTGTCCAGTCATCAACCTTCTTACTTTCACAGAGGATTTCAAAAGATTCTGCTTCCCTATTGATGTGGAATAGAAGAAATGGCAGGTGAGATGAAATGCTACCTGGATGATCCTGTTTCTCAATACAGACTTCAAGGAGAGCTTGGGTCACTCTATTTAGTTGTTTACGTCTCTGGAAAGGCTGAGATGCTTCTGAATATGAGTTGCCCATATACAGGTGAGGTAAAAGCAATGTGGCATTCACTGGGATCCAGCATGTCAAATAACATTTTTCTGTATTCTCTGACTCTATTTTCATAAATGTAGTTTTTATATTGATGCCCTGAGAGTTGTTTCCTTTGTGGTACTAGCATATGATTTTTAGTACATGCTGAAGTTACATCTACAGAATTGTGTTACTTTTTAGGTGTAGTTCATGCGGGAAGCTAGTAACACCCAGAATTTCTTACAATTTCTATTCTGGTTCCAGATATACTCACACATATGCTGAGAGATGATAAGAGCAAGTACTATGGTACAAGTGTAAGGCTTATCTGTGGAGAATGATGTAAGAGCTCTTCAGCAGTTAAAATGACAAGGACTTTAAACACAGAGTTTTGAACAAATGCTATGAACTATAACAGTATTATGGCTTGTGAAGAAAGAACAATTTTGATATCCAAAATGCACCCACTGCAGTAGTCACATTATCTAATTTGGCTGTCTTAGAATCAGCCTCTGGGCAACCTGTTCCAGTGTCTGACCA